GTACATTCCCTGGTGTGACCATGACTATCACTGGGATTTGATGTTGGGGTACCACTACCCGCCCCACTTGTACCTCTAGCATTGATATGGGACATCCACGGCTAGAGATGCACAAAACCCGAATCCGATCCGATCAGATCCGGATCCGAATCCGATCCGGTTTCGCTTACGTCATTAAAAATCCGATCCGGTCAAAATCCGATCCGAATCCGGTCAAAATCCGATCCGGTTCTAACCAAAATCCGAATCCGATTCTAATCCGATTTGAAACCGGTTTAAACCGATTTTAGTGGGTTTTAATCGGATTTTGGGGCGGATTTGGATCCGGTTTTTAGCGAATCCGGTTTACGATCCGGTATCAAATCCGATTTGGAATATAGGATTAGGATCCGATTGAAAATCCGGTTTTAAATCCGATCCGATCCGGTTTGGTCAAAACCGGTTTTGACCCAATCCGGTTTCGGATTGGATCCGGTTTTTGAATAGTGAATCCGGTTTTTGTGTGCATCTCTATCCACGGCGGCTGTCAAAACTGTTTGGAAGACAACTGGGTCGTACCGAGTAGGTGGCGGCGTTGGATCCGTCGGGGATTGTTGTTCTTTATGTTGGGTCTCTTCCTCGGAGGCATCTTATTCTAAAAGAATCAAGGAGAAGAGCATGGTAAGCCCCATAGAATTTGGAATCAAGTGACATGGAACAAGACATATCTCAACCTGATAGACAAAGTGTTCTACTAAGCGATATACAAAGAAGGGTTACCAATACAAGTAAACTATCGCTAGAAAAGAAATAAGTAGCAACACCTGGAATGAATCTCTACATTGAGTTCAACTCTAGATAAAATACTCCTATAGTATTTTAAAGTTGCATGTTCTGTTCTATTGACCTCTTGTTGGATATAACTTGGTAAGTTTTAGGCTTGTTGCAACACCACAGTCACTCCCAAACACATGTTGGTCATGTCTCAAATAAATATATTTGATCATGCTATATTGATTCCAAACATGATTACATAACTATCCAGGTTTAATTGCAGTGTCCAACATCCAATTACTTTTGTTTTTTTCTACTTGCGATATTGCTTCGGATATGTATATATACTTGTGTACTTCATATAAGATATTTATATTTTTTAAAAGTATACTTTTAGTTCAGAGCACTTCAACCCCTTAGTGTTTATAGTTTTATACCATGTAAGGTTCAGTATACTTAGTTCACTATAAACAATAGATCTGATACCAATCTGTCACACCCCAAACCGAAACAGTGGAAACGTTGGGGGTGGAGGACGTCATGTACAATATCACAACAATTGCATCATAATAATCAAAGTAAACACAACTATTACATTGAAATACACATCAAAAGTATAACAAAATATAAAGACGTGACACTATACGCTTCGTCTTCTCAAAAGCCTGTTGGAGTACCTGTCTACTGATTTCCTGAGAATACAAACGATTTTGAAAGAGTATCAGCATTAAGCTGGTGAGTTCATAAAAATGTTTTTGTAATGAAAGTCTGTCATTGAATCTATATAAAAATGATTGTATGCTTCCCAAGAAAATCAAAATTTTCTAACATATGTGTTTGTTACTGTGTTCCATAAAGTATTAGTTTGCATGTCTGGTTACTACCAACTGTATTGTATGTCGTTGCTTTAAATGAAAACCTTTTTGTATGAAAACCCTGACTATCACCAGTAATGTATAGAATGTTCCGTTTGAAAACCATGGTTACCACCAGTATGTATCGTAGTTTCATTACTTAAAATAAAACCATGCATTGTAATCCACTGGAATCTTCTAGTGTAATGTATAGTAGTTTTATTGATAAAAATAAAACTAATGAAGAATAAATTTTCATAAACAAAGGTTAGTTTATATTATTGTGAGTCGTATAACCATGCTTGATATGACTGATGACTTCTGCGACGTTCTTCAGGCGTCGGATGGTATGATATTTGTCACCCCAGACATGCCTGCTTAACTGTAGCTAACAGTTTAGGTGTGGGATTGTCAGTCCTGAATAGATTTATTCATAAATCTTACGCTCTCCCTCCAGGAGAATCTAGCTACACTAAATGATAGGATTTAACCTGTACCCCGAAAGGTACAATTGAAGAGTTGTCTCACAATCCTGTATTAACTAGTTAAATGTAGTTATGAATTGTTCTCTTGTATTTGAATTCGTTTGTATACTTTGTAAAGTAATAATTATACTTAAATAATTATTTAACAATGTGTTCTCGTTATTCGAAATATAACATTGAATATCATAAATTAAGTCTGTCATAGTTTATATGCCTGTGAAAGTAAAATTGTGTATTGAAATCCCAAACTATACCGATTATAGTTTGCATGAATGTTATGTACTTGGTTCGTGTATTGATCTGAAAACTATGCAATTATGATTGTAATTTGAAAACGTCCCTTATGCTCAACATGTTACAAAAGGGATAAAATATCTAAATATTTTATAAAAATGTGGAAATCGTTCGGTCGTCTCAATTGCATAAGTTTTAAACATGTCATATTCTTTTGTATAAGTTCACAAAATCATTCGTCTTTCGTTTGTATTCCCCCCCCCCCCCCCCCTTGAAAACATTAAAAATAGGAAAAGCATAGAGGTATGAACTCATTGTTAGTTGCGTGAAAGTGTCGGACTGTGAAATTGAATGAGAACCTTCGAGTTGTTGCAAGCGGAATTAACGGAATCCTAATAATAATCAAACACATATATGCGTAATATTAGCGAAACCATTAATTATAGTGTTGGAAAACACTTGCTTTTGGTTTATGAATGTTACCGGGACTCGATTGAATCGGAAAAACGGGTTTTTCAGCCAAGTTCACAACTTGGGAAGGTTTGCGGTCGTGAATTGTTCCCGACCGTGAACAACCTCTTCAATGATTTACGGTCGTGATCAGTGTTCTTGAAGCAAATATGAAGGTTTGAAGTGTTCACGACTGTGAACTGATTTCGATCCTTGAAGATTTGAAGAGTTTGCGGCCGTGAACTCAATAACACGATGCTTGATTTGATTAAAAATGCGTTTTTAGAGGCTACCCAACAACACCCAATTGTGATTTTTGATGATTTCCGGAAGAAAATGGGGGATCTTTTTGTGCTTTCGGTTGAGAGGTTAGAGAGAGAAGGGACGTGTCTTCGGCTAGAAAAGTGTAAATGAGGGGTAGGAGCACATATTTATAGGTTGAGTTTATGGTTAGTGGTAGGGGCCACTAGCCGTGAACAGGTTTACGGTAGTGATCGGGTTTACGACTGTGAACACCAGTCAGGTCGGATTTGCTGATTTTCTAAGTAACTCGGGGTTTCGCGCAATTTTGTTTACGACTCTTATATAAAATTTAATTATATAACTAAATGATTTTCCAAACTATAAGAATTTGACGGAACTAAATAAAATTTCAAAATTTATTTGATGGAATAAGTTAATGTTAACGGAAAAGGTTCGGGTTGTCACATAAAACAACAACCAAACGTGTTTATCAAAACCATAAGAAAATCATAGTGTATCAATAATCATCCAAAATACATAAGAGTCAATAAAGCGGAGGATCATGGTGTGTGCAATGTGATCATCCCGAGCTCTTCCCATTGGAACCGAAAGTACCTGAAACATAAATTGAAAACCGTAACCATAAAGCTTAGTCGGTTTTCCAAAACACCCCATACCATACATACAATGGGCCTTGCCCGACAACCTTCGGGCCCCGCCCGACATTGATCCCCGCTCAAAACTGTTATATCAGTAACATGCGATGGTCCCCGCCCAACATACTTATCAGACCCCTCCCGATATATATACAACCACATACAACACATGCAAAGTCACATGCACAGTTAACATACAAATACCAATAATCCATGGGTCGGTATTGGCACATTCGACCCGCCAAACACTGGGTAGGAGACTCACCTCAATCTACTAAAAATCAAATAAATGCTCGATTTAAAATATGATGAGAACTCGATTTAAAACAATCATTTGTTTGCAAAGAAACTCAAATTTATAGACAATACGAGGAAAACAAATTTCATACCTTATATTGATTAGTTATAACTTGCACGTTAAAAGTCTCGGCCCATGAACAATATAGTGTATGAATTGGGGCTAGAATTTAATACATAATCATATTAGCATCGACAAAGATAATGGAGTAAACAAAAATCGAATATAAAATCACAATATCAGAATATAAAAGAACAAACCAAATTGAGGAAATAAAATCACAATAAAAGATCACAAACCAACAATGATGAAGCGAGTCATCGACGACGGCTATGGACAAACAGGATGGAGGCGGTGGATGAACGCGACGACATGGTGAAATAAAGCAGAGATGGAAGACGAATGAGCATTGCTAGGAAGCGAAGAGTCATTTTCGTGGTTTTGTGTTTGAATATTGGGACGAGTTTTAGATGGGAGGGATAGATTGTAAAATTTGTTAAAATGAAAAAAGAACAAAATTATTATTTTATAGAAAATACGTTGTGTAGCGTAAAAAGTTATTGTATGCCAATCAACTTACAATTTTAGATATGTTTATCAAAATAAACATATTTTTATTTATGTTTACAAAAATACACATATTTTAATTTTATTACCTTTTTCCAATGAATATGGATTTTTTAAATTCTTTTTTTCCCAATGAATACGGATTTAAGAGGTGGAATAATTGTTTCACCTTGCAAAATAAGTGACGCTACAGAAACATATAATGTTATAAAAAAGTCACCTTTAACATTATAAAAAAGGCACTTTTATTACTACACCTACTTTGTAAGATCTCAGCCAAAAAGCTTTTGCAAAGCCTGCTTAATTCAGTAGAAAACAAAAAAACTCCATGGATTCTACTGCTTCATTCAGGATCAAATACTAAAGGCCATCTCACTGGAGTCCATCCCACTCAAAAACCACAATCATATCAACAAACTTGCTGCACACATCCCAAAATTCTTAACCTTTTTCTTCATCAATGGCTACGCAAGATCACCTCCACCTCCACCTCCACGAACAACACCACAAACAGAGCTATGAAGAGCTGCTTTGCTCTTATTTAGGCATAAGTTTCGCAATCTTTCTAGGGTTCCTTCCTAAACAATCGCTTGCTTTGGTCACATCTCTCCAAAGTCATGACGAATCACTCTCTAAAAGGCTGTTACAAGCAGAAGAACAACTCGAGCAGCTATACTCGCGAAGAAAGGAGGATTCCAAAGCGAATGCTAGGGTTGTTGAGATATTCGCTAGCCACCGCCACGGATGGCAGCAAGAAGAGAAACGCCTCCTCCGTCAGATCGACGAAAACGTGGAGGAGATTGCGAATTTGAGGGCTAAAGTGGAGGACCTCGAGATTAGGGTTGATGAGTTGAAAAGGGAAGTGAGTGAGAGAGACGAGTTGTTGAATTTTATGACGAATAGGGAGGATGATGGCGGAGGATACGGTGGCGACGGTGATGGAGAATTCTATGGAGAAATGTTGGGGTCTAGGTATGGGAAATTAAGGGTTTCAGATGAGGGGATTAACCATAACCATAACCATAACCATAAGCATGATATCAATTACGGTAATAACAGTGTTATGGGAGATTGTTATATGGAAAGAGGGGTTCACAATGTGGATGATTTGGGCTCCATTTATGATGTGCATTCCATGTTTAAATCTTCAGAGTTTTCCAATTCCGACGTTTCCAAGTTCATGGCAGAAAGATCAAATCTTTGGCAGGTTATGAATGCTAAACTTCATATGTTTGTTCTTCATTACATGCATTCTTTTACTGAATGGTCCATCAAAGCTTCAAATTCTGCATGATACGAAGTAATTTCATGAAGTTAAATTACTTATTGATCTCTTTAATTATTAAAATTAGGTTTAATTTAATGATACCTTTTATCATGGGCGTCTTTATCAGCTACAGGTTGGCAATAGTGTCTCTATATAAATATTAAACTCAACGTCTTGAATAAGATATTATTTGTATGTTATAGTTGTGAATTTAGGATGATAACTAGGAATCCCGATTTCTGTTTGGTGGTGGTGGTTGATTTCATCAATTGCAGTTTTGCAGTTTGAATGAAAGTTGGACCACTTCATCACTGGCTAATACTGCCCATGCAATTTTCCATTATTTCCATTTTTTTTAATGATTTAAAGTCAAATCTTAAGCCAAAGAAATTGAAACCCATTAGTCCTTTTCATATTTTGCACTAGTCACTGGTTTAATATATGTTGAAAAACTTAACTTATTAAGATAATCTTAAATCTTAATAAGTTTAATAATATCAAGAAGTATGCTCTTACGTCTTAAGCAATGGAACTAAATTGTTGTTGACCAGTTGGGTTGACTTTCCGAGTGCTAATTTCTGCAGGGTGTACAATATGAACCTGTTGAACAAGTTCATGATTTGAAGCACTATGTAACAAGGTAATCTTGCTTTAGAATTTATTTACATATCTATCATAAGTCTTTTGACATATCAAAAGTCAAAACTAAATCAATCTTTTTTATTTTTTATCAGGAGAGAATCCCCTTGGAAGGTGGATGGTGATTCATCCGGGGTTTCTGCAAAACTAAAATTGCTGGAACAAGAGCTTCAAAATTTGGAAAATATCGGATCAAATGATTTGTTAAAAGTCCCATCATTAATGAGAAAACAAGCAAAAAGATATCAAGCTCTATCCGGAAAAATCGATGATCTTTGCAGAAGAATGGTACCCACACACAACTCTAAATCCTCTTACATTATTTAATCAAAATGTTATAGAGTCAAGTTCATTAAAAGAACCGAATCTCGGCCCTTGAATGAAAACAATCAATGACCGAGATTACAAAGCAGTTAGGCGGTTACATAACATTTGGCTTTGTGGGGGCCCACAAATTCTGTAACTGCATAACTGCTTTGTAACTGCCTACAAATCACGGACCGTACATAACATTTGGCTTTGTGGGGGCCCACAAATTCTGTAACTGCATAACTGCTTTGTAACTGCCTACAAATCACGGACCGTGATTTGTAGGGGCCCACACTTGTGGTTTCTCTTTTGAACATGATTTTGCGTGCTTGTTTTTGAAAATAATTATGGTTATATACATAATATTTCAGCAGGAGAATGATCCTTGTGAACCAAATGCGGGTTTAGAGTTTCGAACACAGAGACAAACGGAGTTTTTACTAGAAGCACTTCGGCTTCAACAGCGTGCGTCTGAAACGGGTCAGAAGTTGATGGCATTGCAAACAGAAACAGGGAATTGGAACGGGTGTAATTATGGTAATGATTTGGTGGAAGGGCGTGCACGATTAACCACTAGACTCGCGTTAAACTCCATAAGAAATAATTTCAGGGATATTCAGAGAAATTTGGAGATATGGTTAGCCAGAATCATTGGTGATGTTGAAGGGATTTTGGCTAGAGATGGGGCTTCGCGTGTCAATGAGTATTATATTTCTCCAAGATACCCTTTTGTTCAACACGAACGATTCTAATTATTACTTTTTTTTTTTTTTGGTTTGATGAATTTAAAATCGATTGATTCATGGCTTGATGTGTACATGTTTTTGGCCTAATCTTGAAGTTGTGTTAGAATGTGGTTAAGCTTCCAACATTTAGATTGTTGATCTCCTTTCCGTGCATATGTGCATTGGATTATTTTGCTCCAACTACTGCAAATTTTCTGTATATTATTCCAACTAATATGTAATTCTGTTGCAAAAAAAAAAAGGTCACACTTTTGTTCAGTCATTGACTCATGGTTATAATAGGAGTATGTTATGGTTGTATGATTTTTTATAAAATTGTATGCTTTATGTCTTGTTATGTTAGAGTTTACATTTTTTTATTTTATTCGCACCTAAGTGCTATTTGATAAATTGTTGTATGAATGAAAGATGTTTAAACATATAATCATATGATGAGATCAAATTTGTAAAAAGTATGAAGTTGATGGATTTTTTTCCCAACTTTTCTAATTTAGTCATTCTTTAAGTTCCAAGTCTTTAGACTTACAGATCATTTGGAGATAGGCAATGGATGTTATGTCCTTATAAGGTTGTACACAGTCTTTCAATTATGTGGAGCACATTAAATGACCATTTTGCCCTTTGTGTCTATAAATGATACAAACACAAGGGCTGATAGTTTTCAACACATCACCATCAAACACAAAAAGAACAATCACTTGTATGACTTAGTGCTGTGTCTAGATTTGGTGGAAATGATAAATGATTATTTTTCACATTATTTTTGTTTCTTGTGCCAAAATATAAAATAAGTTGAAAGAGAATAGCTAAAATCCAACAGTTTAATGTCTGATTAAGATACCATTTCCATAAGTGGAGTCTGGAGACACACAAGACAGAAATCACCAACAATTAAAACATAATTCTTCTTCATAAACCCATATATATAATTAGGCATCTATGCTCAACAAATTCAAGCAGTTGCAGTTGCAGCTTCAAGCAATTGTTTCACCTTGGTGATGTAGTCATTCATTGCCTCATCCTTGGATTTTGCTGTGTCAATCACAACAACAGAAACCACATTAATACAAAAAAACACAAAAATAACTATATATATATTTTTTATAAAAAAAAATATACACCTTCAACAGCCTTCCAAGCATCCCATTTAGCCCTCTCTCTCATGTTGAACATGCCCGGACGACCTATAAATCCAACAAAACAAATGCTTAAAAATGTTGTATACAAATGGTGAGGATGAGGAGGAGGGCATTTAAGTCTTTTACACAGACACCAGTTCAGTTGTCCTGTGTAAGAAATGGGGCCTTATAGTGGAGCAGATAGATAATAGATACGTACTAGTGTTGACTGGTCCCACTGTGGCTTGCTTGAACAATCCGTACAGTATGAGCTTGTCCTCATTGGTGGTGCTCTCAGGGAGGGTCTTTGCCTTCTCAGCATGCTCCTCAAAGTCCTCCTGTCAGTTATGGAAGTGGTTGCATAATTATCCAATAATAAATTGATCCTTATCCTACAAGTAGTAATATTCTTCTGTAAAGGTTAACTACTAAGAATGGCTGGCTTTTGCGTGTGGATCATGAATAGCCAATTAGGGAACACGCAATTGATCAGTATCCTTTTTAAGAAGGAGTTACTTTCATCCATTCTTTTGCCTTTAAAGTATAAAGAATTTTTCTTAAGGTCTGAAGAATCAGAGTATATCTCCCTCGCGTAACCATTTATAAACCCTTTAATTTACAAAGTAGCAGTTTAGGAACGGGAATCCCTAAAATTTAGTAGTTTCGCATCGCTAAAACGACCTAATTATACAGTACCAAAACTCGTGGAAGGTGATCAAATTCTGTGATGAACAAGAACAGATCTGTGTAAAATTACTAAAATATCAAATTCATCTCTTCTACTTAACAGATCAGTCGTAAATGAAAATGGTGGATTTCATTAATTCACGGATGAACGCAAAAAGATCACACATAAAAATAATAGGCGAAACGATCTGCACTACATATCAACGAAGGCAGGTGAAAAAATTGAATTAATTCAACAGAATAGGGGGATGAAATCAAGAATACCTTCAAACCCATATCTTCAAGAAAAAAATCACTGACTCAGTCGCTGGTGACGGTGGCGATGTGTGTGTGTGTGTGTGAAGCGTGATGACTGGTGGGACTCCATTTATAAGCAAGAAAAGGACTCCGGCGGAGAGATCAAGAAAAATGCCCTGAAGATTGAAATAGTTTACAGTTAAAACCCTTCAGATATATACGATTGCAAAATCAACCTCCATTTCACATGTCACATGTGACAAATGTGAATCCTTTCTATATAATTAACCAAAAACCTTCTTCCACATTTTTATTTTATAATTTCAGTTATATTTTATTCATTTTGTTAAAAGGTATAAAATTTGATTGAATATATGGTGTAATAAAAATATTTTATTGCAATTTAAATATTTATAGTACATTTTCTTATAGGAGAAACATAAAATTTTATTGACCAAAATCAAACCAATCCACTTTCAAAAAGTTCTAGATAATATAACCGGAGTTGATACTAGAAAGGAAAATTACATCTTTAACCAATTTTGAATCGAAAGTAAATTATTTTATGGACGAATGAACATAAAAAGAATGATACAATACACAGATAGCATTTGATCCAAATGATATTAACCGAGTTTTTACAAATAATGGTATGAAATTCACTACAACCATATTCATATTTATTTTTCTTTCTAGATTGTTTAAAACCGAAAGGATGCCATTCAATCGCGGCAAACAAATGGTATTCCATATAATGAAATAAAACTCTAATTGTCGTTATAATTGTTTGCTTATATGAATATTAGAAGATTACCTGTAGACCAATTTGGGTTTTAATTTGAAACAATTTATCCATGAGGGTTGTAATTGTCAAAAATTGTAAAACGGAGGGCTGTATGAATACTAACGGTTAAAGATAGACACAGCGAAGCATATTCTGGTTTATTATTGCTTGCATGTGGCGCAATTCATACGGTTGGTTGCCTTCCCCCGAATAAGCATAACTGCATACACCCCTTTATCGTTTATAATATTATTGCTACTAAACGGTAAAATTTGCATTATAAAAAGATTGATATAATAATTTCATTTTAGATTATTAAAAAACATAGAAATAACATATTGTTAGTTCTTATTTACTTAACTAGACATATTTTAAGACCACATTTGTCGTTGGAATACAGACAAAGCACTTTTTAAGGGTTTAATCACAAAATATGACCACATTTGTTCGTTGGAATATAGACAAATAATCACACTTTTTGGTTTTACCGAAATGAACCATTTCTTCATTTCGGACTAAAATCCTCTATAAAGTTTAGTTTCTTTGATTTGCACCGAAATGCACCAAAACACGAAAAAAAAAAAATCTATTTCCTTCGGTAACACCATGTCGACTATCACACGTATTTGGACATGACATCACTCTATGACGTTGTATCAACATCTACTTCGGTTTCGGTGTTCTTTGAAACACAACATTTCAAACCCCAAAATGTTATTTCTTTTACATTTATACAAGAAAACGTTACATATGTTTATCTTCTTGTTATATGCTTCACGGACGGCGTAGCATTCTTGATGACCAACTATCATTAATGAATTATGTTCTTGGGCCAAAAAAGAAAATGATGTTTTTCAAAGTAGACATTGATAAGACATTTGATTCCATATCACGAGACTTTCTTGATTTTATGTTATCCCAAATAAACTTCGGGATCAAATGGAGGAATTAGATTCCAAAGTAATTTTAATTCAGGTAGAACCTTTATTCTCGTCAACGGATCTCCTGCAAAGGAGTTCTCAGTTTGAGGGGTTCGTCAACGAGACCCTCTATCCCAATTTCTCTTCATCTTTGTCATTAAAGGTCTACATGTGGAGACATCTATGTAAAATTATCTTTACCCCAGTATTTCTCTCCTCCAAAATGATTCCCTTTATCGCACTTGATGTACACTCATGACATTATGTTTATTGGGGAATGGTTTGTTATTAACTTTTTAAATCTTAAGTGGGTCCTTAGATGCTTTTACTTGACATCCAAACTTAAGGTTATTTTTTTTTTTTAAATAGCAAAGCCTTTTGCGTTTGGTGTTGAAAACACAAAGATGTCAAGAATTGCTAATCTCCTTAATTGTGAAGCTAATACACTCCCATTTTCCAATCTATGTGTCCTAATAGGAGCAAATATGAAATATAGATAACATTGGAACCCGATAATTGAAAATTTTAAGTTAAGATTGAACTTTTTGGAAGTAAAAAACATTATTCTTTGGTGGCTGATTGACAAGAGAGTATGAAGTCAAAAAAAAGTACGATTAAATGGGTGGCATAGAAAAATATGTTGGCCCCTAAAGTGGCCGGCAACCTTGACATTGGTTCTCATACAATTTTTAACTTGGCTCTTTTATCTAACTGCTGGTGAAAGTTAAAACTAGGAGTTGGTGGAGTTTGGACTAAAGTGATCAAAGAACTCCACAATGTTAGGTGCATTTTGTGCACCTTTTTGCACATATTTTCATCACTTTTATGCATCCATTTAGTGTAATTTATTTAATTTTATATGCATTTCATAAAAAGTCAAGTTAATTACTAGAACAACCTTATTTGCATGTTTTTACGGTCTTTTCAAGTGATCCGGAGGTGGAAACGCGTTTTGGAGGTGTCAGGAAGCACGGGTGAAGGTTTTGGGGCGATTAGATGTGAAACAAAAAAAGTTGGAAGATCAAGATTGCACCTAGAAGCAGAGAGGAACATGGACCATGTTAGAATGCTCTTAAAAGATGGACACATGTCGTGTTTTACCAAGAAGGAGTCATTGACCATGCTTAAAACAAGCCATATCATTTTAGCATATATTGACACGACACATGTCGTGTTTTACCAAGAAGGAGTCGTTGACCATGCTGAAAACAGGCCGTATCATTTTAGCATATATTGACACGACCCGTGTTGGTCTATTTCTGCAAGTTTGAGCATTGTACTTTGGAAGAAATCTCGAGGGTAGCATGTCATTTTC